TGGAATATCTCCTTGTATAACCTTCAGCCACAAGGCTCTCCTCAGCACAGATGTCCTTCAGCCTCTTCCAGGCTGGGCAGGTGATCACTTGGTCCACACGCTGTCCCCAGGCATCAAAATGCAATAATCTAGGAGGGTTTAGGTCACACTCACGGCCCAAGAAGCCAATTTCATCTCTCAAACGAGCTCCAAACCGTTCCAGATCAATGTTCACCTCGGCAAACACCTACAAGGTCAATGCATGAATATGGAACGTGAAGAGGGGTAGGACAGGAACCAGAAGGTCATTTTGAAAGGAACAAAAGAAGCTAAGTTGAAGGGCTGCTGGTTTCTTTCTTATGTGGCCAGCAGTTTCATCCGGTGTGGCTTCTTCAAACAAGCTAAGTTTGTGGTTAGTTCTTAGAGCAACCAAGTTGCCTCTCAGTGTCTTTCCTAAAGAACGCTCAGAATGTATACGAGCTCAGTTTCAAGCTCAGTTCACTGTATTCCCATCATCCTTTCCTTGGGTAAAACAATTGATGAAAATACAGCATTGAAGAGGGATATAAGAATCTAAGTTTTTTTGTGGTTCTCCCAAGGCTTCCAGAGCTTGTTTAGCTCTTTACCCTGAGTGGGAATCTAATGCATGATTTGTCTTTGGGCAGCTGGAGGAAAAAACAAATATAAATGTACAGCTAGTTCTTGGCTTATAAGCATTTGTTTAACAACATTTCAAAGTTATGAAGGCCTTGGAAAAAGTGACTTATAACCTTTGAGCTGCTAGTGATATGGATGGTTTACTTGTGGTGGAATATTACAAAATGTGTGACATTTGCTGTACATAATGATTTAACAATTTTGAGGTTGCACTACATAAGGAAAAGGTGGTAGAAATTGTCACTCACTCAATGTGGCTGAGCCAGAAACTTCGAACAGCCTTAGCCACCATGGCTAATGGTGTGAACTGCAATATTAAAAAGGACCACAGGTGCTTAACTTGTAGATGCTACAAGTTAAGATGTGTTTTTGTATAATTTGTTTGCAATGGTATTGTATCGTATTGAAACCCTATTGCTGTAATCTAATAAGTGAATTGGATCATTGCTGTTTTTTTCAAGGCTGCAAATTTGTGTTTCCAGAATCAGGATGTTCATGTAAACATTCCATTCCATTCTCCTATTTATTAACTGCCCATCTCCCTCGGATAAGCAATGGTATGCAACATATAGGTATTTGCTTAAAGATTTTTCCTTTTGATAATATTGCATTACACAATTTGTCTGAATGAACAGCAGAGACAGCATATTCTAAAGGTAGTCCTCACTTAATGAACAAGGACTTAATCAGTGAGTGTTCAAAATTATGACAGGGTCCCCAAAAATGGAAATATCAAAGTTTAAAACTACTTCAGGAAAAACATGATCCAACTCTGCCATCATAACTCAAGAGGAGACGGAGCTCTTCTCATGGAAACTCAACTTCCCCCTTCCCCAACATATGAAGTCCCTAATCAATTTCTACTGATTTAATATTCTTCTGCCAGTTTTCCTTCCTTCCCAGCATGATGTAAACTGTCCCGTCCTATTTTGTAACCTCACACCAGCTGGCTGGGGGAAGAGAAGTGTACAGTAGCACCCCTTTGAAGAAGGTTGGAGGGGACACTCTTACATAAGAGGCAGAGATCCAAGTTAAGGGAAACAGCCTCTCCTATGACTTAAGGCCCTGTCGGGAAGAGAGGAAGTTTTCTTCATCTTCAGCATTAAAAGGGTGCAAGCTGTGCTTGGAAGAGGAATGGGAGATGCTAGGGGGGAAAGGCTATTCTGGCTGCTAAGGCAAGGGAGCACCTTTTGCTCTAGTCCCAGGAACAGGGAAGGGTCCGCCACTCCAGGTATTTTAATTTCTCCCTTTTTGCCTTACAACAGCAGGTGGGAAGTGCTCCAAAAATCTAAACTGCACAGAATTGGAGCTTTCCACCGCCCTTGGCTCTGCCACAGAACCATTAGAAGGAGCCTCCGAGGTCTTCTAGTCCATCCCCTTACCCGGCCGTGCGAGGGTTCCCAACCGGGTGCGCATCTCACCCTCCAGTCCCTGGCCGGTCAATGGACCTGGGCGGTGACAGGGAACGGAGGAGCAAAAGCGACGAGGAAGCGTCCACAGGCAGCAAAGGCGGCGAAAAAGCACCGAGCCAGCCCTGAGGCCCCCACCGCCGAGTCCCCGTCTGGCGCTCACGCACCTGGGCGGGCAGGTGGGCTCTCAGGTATCCCTGGAGCAAGGGGTCTTCCAGATAGAGGTTCCCCATCCGAGGCGCCTCCATGGTTGCACCCTCGAGCGCTCGGCAGTTTCCCGGTTCCCGCAAAGGCTCCCGCTGGAGAAGTGCGCCGGCGGCCGGGGCCAAGTTTTGCCCTCCTGCAGGTCGTTTCTACACGGGTTTGGGACAGGCGGGTGCCCCGGGATGTGGGGTGGGGAGGTTCTCACGGTTCAGGGAAGGCGCGAGTGCGAGAGAAAAGGATGGCGAGTTTTAAGGCAGCTCTTCCACCCCCGGGACGTTGCGAGAGCGGCTCTGGGCTGGGCCAAGAGAGGGGGCGGGGACGCCTAGCGATTTGCAGCTAACTCTTCGGGCTGTTCTTTGCTGCGGGGCGGCGGGAAGCCCCCCGACTCATCCTTCCCCATTGCAAAGGGGGGGCAAAAGCCGGAGCCGGGCAATCTCTGCAGCGCCTCTGCAATCGCAGGGCCGGCTCCCCGAAGTCCGCCCAAGGAAGGAAGCGAAAGGAGGTAAAGCCACCCTTGGAATACTGCATCCATTTGGTCGCCACGATGTTTTTTTTTTTTTAAAAAAAAAAAAAAGACGTTGAGCCTCTAGAAAGAGTGCAGAGAAGAGCAACAAAGAGGATTAGGGGAAGCTAAAACATACGAAGAATGTTTGCAGGAAATGGGTATGTCAAATCTGATGAAAAGAAAGACTCAGGGATGACATGACAGGAGCCTTCTAAAATCTCGGGGGCTGCCCCAAAGAATAGGGCAGGGGTCGCCAAACTTGGCAACTTTAAGACTTGTGGACCTCAACTCCCAGAATTCCTCAGACAGCATAGCTGGCTGGAGAATTGTGGGAGTTGTAGTCCACAAGTCGTAAAGTTGCCAAGTTTGGAGACCTCTGGCATAGGGGGTCTGGAATGGGATAGGATTTCACTTCAAAGTAGACATACCCAGTTCCTGCATGTGCAAACAGCTTCTCCCCTGAGCTGGTTTCACATGAGGATCAAGGATGAGGAAGAGAAAAAAAAAACCCAGAATTTTACTAATTGGGCCACCTTTTTTCCTCCCTGATAAAATGAAAAGAGTTTTGATGTTCAAAAGAAAGAGAGATAACAGCTTGCCCAGTCGGTAGCCAACTCCTATAGGAAAAAGAATAGGAAGGAAGAAATGCTTTTTGAGCTACAAAGATGTGGGGATGGCAGAGTGAGAGAAAGAGAGGAAAAAACAAAACAGAATTTTACTAATTGGGCCAATTTTTCCTCCCAAATAAATTGAAAAGAGTTTTGATGCTCCAACGAAAGAAAGAAGCAGGCAGCCCAGTCAGTATACAGTTCCCTACAAGAAGAAATATTATTTTAGCTATTTTAATCTTTCTGTTGGGAGGCTTATGAGCCGGGGGAGAACAGAAAAGGCAATAAATAAGAGAAAAAGAAATAACGAGCTAAAAAGGTGCCTGAGAGGAGAGCTGCCCGGGCAGGGCTGAGGGAGGAATGAGATGTCTGAGGCAAAAATGATGGGTGGATCAAAATGGCCTCCAAAATCACCTCAGAGCTCTTTGAAAAGTTAGTGTTATTTTCTTTATTTTATTATTTGTAATAGATAGATATTCAAAGGAGATACTTTTCTACGATTGCCTGCCCCTTATTGTTTTTAAAAAGTCCTTTCTTCTTCAGTTCTCTATTAAATTATTACCATAAAGTATATTTTCTCTTCAATTAGTTATTCCTTAACTTATTGAGGTTTTTTTTTTATAATAACAGATCAGAAATGCAAAAGCAGGGTATAATCTGAAAGAAGAAGAAAAAATAATAATATTTTGTGTGCTTCATTCACTAAAAAAATAGAATATTTTGCCTTTTCCCACCGAAATTTTTTATCTTGCTTCAGCTGAAAAGAGAGCTTCGTCTGAGGCTTAACTAAACAGAAGTGGGGATGGCAGAGTGAGAGAGAGAGAGAAAAAAAACAAAAACAGAATTTTACCAATTGGGCCACTTTTTGCCTCCCAAATAAAATGAAAAGAGCTTTGATGCTCCAAAGAAAGAGAGAAGCAGGCAACCCAGTCAGTACCCAACTCCTTACAGGAATAAAAGTTATTTTAGCTATTTTAATCTTTCTGTTGGGAGGCTTATAGGCTGCTCAGAGCCCAGGAGAGAATGTGAGAGGCAATAAATAGCAAGAAATAAAAGAAAAAGAAATAAAGAGCAAAAAGAGCGACTGAGAGCAGAACTGCCTAGGCAGAGATGGGGGGAGGGATGAGGCACCTGAGGGGAAATGATGGTGGACCAAGATGGCCTCCCTCTTCCCGCCAAAATCAGAGCGTTTTGAAGTGTACTCTCATTTTTTTCCATTTTATTATTTGTAATAAATCAATATTCCGTTGCCTGCTCCTTAAATTATTGTCAAAAAGAGCCTTTCATTCTACAGCTCCCTATTTTTCAAATTATTGCTATAAAGTATATTTTCTCTTCAATTGGCTATTCCTTAAATTATTATGAAGCTTTTTCTTTTCCGTCACCTCCCCTTAAACTATTACTAAAAACATTTTTTTCTCTTCACTGGCTTTGATTTAAAAACAAATTAGGGCATAACATGCATTGATTTAAAAATCAATTTGAAAACATGTCAAATTATTTTCAATTAGATTTATTTTCACCCATAATGTCTTTTTTGTCTTTGTCTTCTTCTTTATTTTGCCTGTAAATGTTTTTAAAGAAAGATTTAAACCTTTAAAACAATAATAAAAACAAACAATCCTCTCAAAACTGAGAGAGTCAGAATGTTCTGACAATTGTAACATTTTGTTTATTGACTCATGTTTTATATTCAAGCTACACAGTCCTTTTTTTTAAAACAAATTTTATTGATTTTAAAGACAAACAAACCATCATTAACCATTAATACATGAACCTCTTTCCATTATAAATTTTACAAGTCAAATAAAACATTATTTTATACAATATAATTCTATTTTAGACCATTTCCATATGAGCATACAAATATCTCTTATCCAATTTCTCTTTACTCTTATCCAATTTCACTATTATTATTTTTCTCTATATTTATCCAATTTATAATTATCATCTATTTCTCTCTGACTTGGTTACCAATTATTCTCATTCTATATTCCTGTAAGGTTTTATTAATTCTCCCACATACATAAATAAACACACAAAACACAAAAATATAAAAGATCTTTTAGGAAAGTAATTTGGCCCCAGAAACCTCTCTCTACATGGACTTCAATTATATTCATGCTCATCTTACATGCCATTGCCTATTTTATTTACCATTCTATATCTTCTAAATTAGCTTCTCCACACATTTCACTCTTCTTAATTCTATCTTATTTAATTCATTTTAATTTAAGTCATTATATTTGTATCTTTTGTCCATTCTTTATTATCCATTTGTCTCATTCCCTATAGTAAAAAGAAAAAAGAGTTTCTCCTGAAATCACTAATCAGAGTATGATGCCTTTCTATCATCCCCCTAAATTAACATTTAAAATAACACCTAATACCCAATCTGATTCTGCTTGGTACATTCTATCTACTAATTTTTAAAAAAGAAAAATAATAAATCCAAAATGATTAAATACATTACTAAACATTTCAATATTTTAATCTCTTATTAACTCTTAAACCATTCTAATTTTCTATTTCTAATACAAATGCTACAGTACCATCTTATGTACCTTGCAGAATCTTTTTTTTAAACAAATTATACATTACCCTTTGTCCCGAAAAAAAATTCCTCTTTTCCCATCTGGTTTCAAAGCTTTGTGGCTTTTCTCCACCTTTTCCCTTTCTTTCTTCTCCCACCAGGCCTTTCTACCCCCCACCTTCTCCTAGCCTCTGCCTTGTTAGCTTCCCTTCTCTGTTGTGTTCCTTTTTTCTTTTGTTTTCTAGCATTATATTGATTTTGCATCTTATTTTTCTCTTTCTTGGGTGTTTTTTTAAATCCTTCATTTTCCTTCCTCTCTTTCTCCTCTCTTTCTTAATTAAATTTTGAGATTCATCAAAGATGGCTTCTTCTTCTGCTGCTGCTGCCTCCATCTGTTGTTGTGTTTGTTGATAAATAGCAAGCGCCATTTCTAAAAAGAGAAAAGCTTCCTTTACAGCGTCCTTGCCCTCTCTTTTTGTTTGTTCATATTCTTTTCTCAGTTCCTCAACGGAAAAAGCCATTATAAATCTTTTCTTTTCTTTTTTTCCTCTTTCTTCTTACAACAACCAAGATGTTTCAAAAGTTAGAACAGTCCCAAAATCCCAAAGTCACCACTCAGTCCAAGCCAAAACAAAGTTCTCACTTTCTCTTCCTGGGGTAATATAAATATATATATTGTCCTCTCCCTTCCCACTTATCACAGAAAGCAAGTTTTAACTTTCTATAAAAAGACAAGTTTCTCAATATCCATTTGTTGATTCCATAGGGAAGGAGAGTAAACTTTCCTTTCAGCACCTCAAAATTGCCGCTTATAGTCACAGTCCTTTCTTATTGTCTTCTGTTACATTTTATCCAGCCATTTATTTTGTCCCTTAAATGTTTTAAAATAAAGATGTAAACGTTTACAAAAAAGAGTTAAGGATGAAAAATGCAACAAAGACAGCAATGCATAAAATGCAGAGTTTGAAAGGAGAAAAAATTCCGAGATATTTCAGAGGCAGAATTAGAGGACGAAAGAAACTCGTATCCAGGAAAGTGCTGATGGCAATTTGTGCTCATCACCGATGAACAGATCAAAGGATAAGCACAAGCTGGATGCA